CAGCTCTGGCAGCTCTCACAGAAATAGCAGCAGCAGCAGCAGCAGCCGCAGCAGCAAGACGATGCTGCCTCTTTCTAGTGCCTCCTTCCGTATCCCTTCTGCGCTGCTGCAGCTGCAGCAGCAGCAGCAGAAGACCGCAGCACGAGCTGCTGCAGCAGCAGCGAAAGCAGCAGCAGTCCCCCTTCGGGGGTTTCTACCAACTGCAAATTTTTCGTGTGTGTCCCATCCTCCCTCGCTGCCCCCAGTCGTCCCAGCAGCAGCAGCAGCAGCAGCAGCAGCAGCAGCAGCAAGACCAGCAGCAGCAGCAGCAGCCTGGGTGCCCTCGCCACCAGCACCACCCTCACCAGCGCCAGCAGCAGCAGCAGCAGGAGCGCCATCGCCAGCAGCAGCAGCAGCAGCACCTGCTGCAGCAGCAGCGCCCTGCCGCGCGCAGCGCAGCCCCCCCCCCGCAGCAGCAGCAGCAGCAGCAGCAGCAGCAGCAGGAGTGCTGCGGGGCTCGCTGCTGCTGCTGGGAGGCAGCATAAACTCGCGTTCGCTGCTGCAGCAGTTCTACGAGCGGCTGCCGCTGCGGCGGCGCTTCAAAAAGGCTTTAAAGAAAGGCACTTTAGTGTGGGGCAAAGGGCAGCTGCTGCTGCCTCCCGTTGCTGCTGCTGGCCGCGGGCTCAGCAGCAAGTTGCTGCCGCCGCAGCACAGGCAGCAGCAGCAGCAGCAGCAGCAGCAGCAGCAGCAGCAGCAGCAGCGCAGGCGCGCCTTCAGGGGAGACATCAGCAAACTCAGGGCTGAAAGGATCTGGTTCCAAGACTAAACAGCAGCGCGAGTGCTGCTGCAGCAAGTGCTGCTGCTGCTGCTGCTGCAGCAAGTGCTGCTGCTGCTGCTGCTGCTGCTGCAGCAACAGCTAAATGTGGAGTTCTTGTGAAACCTCTGCTGGCAGCTAGCCACGCAGAGGCAGCAAAAGCAAGGTGGCCGGAATGGTGAAGCTTTTCGCGCAAGGGTTTAGGGTTTAGGGTTTGGGGTTTAGGGTTTGGCGCTTAAGCGTCTCGTGGGACAACTGCTTCGGGGCTCTCGACTGGGGGTCCTGAGCCAGCAGCAGCAGCAGCAGCAGCAGCAGCAGCAGCAGCAGCGGCTCAATCAGCGACAGCAGCAGTAGATCCACAAGCAGCAGCAGCAGAGCTAGCAGCAGAAGCCACAGAAGCAAAACTAGCCGCACCAGGAACAGCAGCAGAACTGGCAGCAGCAGCAGCAGCAGCAGCAGAGCTTGCAGCAGCAGCAGCAGCAGCAGAACTTGCACCAGCGCCACCAGCAGAACCTTCAGCACCAGCAGCAGCAGCAGCAGCAGCAGCACCAGCGCCACCAGCAGCAGCAGCACCAGCACTGCCAGCAGCAGCAGCAGCAGACCATGCAGCAGCAGCTATTGCGGCCTGGTCCCACACCTGAGGCAGCAGCAGCTCCACCGCGTCCACCTGCTGCTGCAGCAGCAGCATCTCGTCCTGCGGCTGCTGCGGCTGCTGCTGCTGCTGCTGCTGCTGCTGCTGCAGCTGCTGCTCAGCGCTGAGGTACGCAGCCCAGGCCAGCATCACGCAGAGCCCGTAGGCCCCGTGGTTGGCGGTGGTGGCGACTGCAGACAGACAGAACCATGAAGAGGGTTTAGGGTTTAGGGTTTAGGGTTTAGGGGCCACGGCTCCTAGGGTTTAGGGTTTAGGGTTTAGGGTTTAGGGTTTACTGATGGTGTAATCTGCTGTGGCCTCGTTCGCGAGCCACTCGCCATCCTCGACGTATTTTTCGACAGCTTCCTTTATGCGGCCCATCCCCAACTCATTTCCTGAACGCACTAGGGTTTAGGGTTTAGGGTTTAGGGTTTAGGGTTTAGGGTTTAGGGTGTAGGGTGTAGTTGCTAGCGCGTCGGGGTCGTTGCGGGCCCCAGGGTCTGCACTCTCGGCCCTGCAGCGGCGCTTGCAGGCCGCGGAGGAGCGAGGGCTTGGGACTAGGGTTTAGGGTTTAGGGTTTAGGGTTTAGGGTTTAGGGTTTAGGGTTTGGGGTTACCGAGGGAGCCGATGGTGGTGGTTTGCACGCGCTTGGGGTGTACAGACACCTCAGCAGCCCACTCAAACAGCAGCGACAAATCTGCTGCCCACAAAGTAATGCTGGTGAGGTTTGGGGCCCAGTACTCCCCCTCTTTGCCTCTGCCCGGCCTGCGCAAACCCTAAACCCTAAACCCTAAACCCTAAACCCTAAACCCTAGGCCCTCGGCCCTGGCGCTGAGCGCGGGCGCTGCGCGCGCCCGCCGCGGAGACGCCCCAAAGCCGAACCCTCAAACCCTAAACCCTCAAACCCTAAATCCTAAACCCTCAAAACCTAAACCCTCAAACGCTAAACCCTCAAACCCTAAACCCTCAAACCCTAAACCCTCAAACCCTAAACCCTCAGCAGCGCCAGCGCTAAACCCTAAACCCTAGCGCCGTGGCCCCAAACCCTAGAGCTTAGCCCTAAACCCTAAACCCTCGCAACAACCCTAGCCCTCAGCCCTGGCCTGAAACCCTAAACCCTAAACCCTAGCACCAGGCGACCCCCAAACCCTAAACCCTAAAGGCTCTAGGGGCCCACCAAACCCTAAACCCTAAACCCTAAACGCTGGTTTCAGCTGACGGCCAAAACGCCGAACTTGAATTTCCTTTATTTAGAATTAATTTGTTTTTAAATTAATTTGTTTTTGAATTATTTTATTTTCATTTTATTTTTGAATTGTTTTATTTCATTTGTTTGTCTACAGAACATGCAATTAAATATTAAATAATAAATAAATAAATAAATGTCTAAATAAATAAATAATAAATTAATAATAAATTAATAAATACCAAATAATAAATAATTAATCAATTAATAATAAGTAAATAATAAATAAATAAATAAATAAATAAATAAATAAATAAATAAATAAATATTAACTGATAAACAAACAAATAAAAATGGAAGACAAGCAAATAAACAAACAAGGAATAAATAAATAAATGACACAATAAAAGTGAATAAATAATAAATAAATGAATAATAAATAAATAAGTAAATAAATCATAATAAATAATAATAAATAAATAAATAAATAAATAATAACAGCTAAATAAATTATTAGTAATAAGAATGAATAAATAAATAAATAAGAAGTAAAATAAATATAATAAGTAAAATAATAAAATAAATGAATAAATAAATGAAATAAATAAATAAATAGACAAAATAAATAAATAAAATAAATAAATTAAAATAAATAAATAAATGAATAAACGAATAAATAAATTAATTAATTAAAATAAATAAATAAAAATAAAGACAGTCCCAAAGGCTTCCAAAGTGGAACAAAAGGACTTTGAGGGAAATTCAAAAAGATTTGAAAAGCGGAAAAAAAGGAGAATAAAAGCAAAATAAAATAAAATAAAAATAAAACAAAAAGGGAATTAAAAAGGACTTCAAAAGGACTCAAAAAGAGCTCAAAAAGGAACTAAAAAGCTGCAAAAAAGATCCAAAAAAAACAAAAAAATCCCACCTGCCAATGTTGATTATGTGGTCTGCTGCAGCAAACAGCTGCTGCAGCTGCAGCGCAGCAGCAGGGCCTCCCCGGGCCTTCACTGGAAGCACTTCTATTTGAAGTCTTGGCTTCAAATAAATAAATAAATAAATAAATAAATAAATAAATAAATAAATAAATAAATAAATAAATAAATAAATAAAAATAAATAAATAGTTGGCTATGTTCATTCGAGGCAGCTGCCGAGAAATCGCGGAGAAAGCAACCAGCAGCAGCAGCAGCAGCAGCAGCAGCAGCAGCAGCAGCAGCACAAGCAGCAACGGCAGCAGCAGCAGAAACGGGAGCAGCGGTAGAAGCAGCAGCAGCAATAACAGCAGCAACAGCAACAGTAACAATAATAGCAGCAGCAGCAACAGCAGCACCAGCAACAGCGGCACAAGCAGCAGCAGCACACTAACACCAGCACAAGCAGCAGCAGCAGCAAAAGCAGCAGCAGCAGCAGCAGCAGCAGCAGCAGCAAAGGGGCGTCGCCTGACCTCGTGGCCTTTCTGTTTAGCTGCTTCTTCAAGGGCCCAAACTTGGCTGCTGTGGATTGCGGGCACCACTTGGGGAGCATTCACTTCATCTGCAGCAGAACACGGAGAGTTAAGGGTTTAGGGTTTAGGGTTTAGGGTTTAGGGTTTAGGGTTTAGGGTTTAGGGTTTAGGGTTTGGAGTTTGCCACTGCGAGCCCTGCTGCTGGGTTAAGAACCGCGCGGCAGCGCTGCCCCTCTCGCGTCCCTGAGCCTCTGCCTCTGCCTCTCAGGGTTTAGGGTTTAGGGTTTAGGGTTTAGGGTTTAGGGTTTAGGGTTTACCGGTGACGAAGATGACGCGTTTGCGGAGCCTCCAGAGCGCAGCAGCAAGCGCGCAGGCCCCGCCAGGCCCGTCCGTGTCTGTGGGAGGCCACATATTAGTGTTTGCTGCGCTGCCGAGCAGCAGCAAAAGGGTTTGGGTCTGAGGGTTTAGAATTGCTGCAGCAGCAGCAGCAAGGGCCCCCCGCAGCGCCGGGGTGTACAGACACCTCCGCTCCTTCAAACGCCCCCAAGTCCGCCGCCGCCCCACAATCAACTCTTCCAGCTGCAGCCCCTGGGGGCCCCACGCTGCAGCGTGGGGGGCCCCCGGGAGTGGCCACGGCCACAGCTGCGGCTCTGCTGCTGCTGCTGCTGCTGCTGCTGCTGCTGCTGCTGCGGGCGCGCCGCTTGGTGCTGCCGCTGCAGCCGAGTCTGCTGCTGCTGCTGCTGTCGACATCCTCGCCGAACAGGGAAATGCAATTCGATAATTCGGAAATGCGCAAACTTATAGGTTTTCAGCTCCTGCAGCGCCAACTGCTGCTGCTGCTGCTGCTGCTGCTGCTGCTGCTGCTGGTCCGCAGGTCAGGCGTGTGGGGCCCGTCGGCCGCGGCGCAGCAGCCTGCTGCACTGAAAAGGCCCCTTTTTTCGTTTAAATGGTATTTATTTTTCTTTTTTATTTTTTTAATTCAAAAAGGCGGAGAAAAATGCGCCAAGTGCTGCGCCGAGGTGGACGTACACTGCAACGACCGCTGAGAGCCACTGGACACGGAGTGACCCTGGAACCAACTCCGCAGAAGCAGCCTCAAATTAAACCCTAAACCCTAAACCCTAAACCCTAATTCTTGAACTCTGTAAGCTAGGCACTACAAAATGAACTCTAAGGGATAGACTCAAGAGCAGCAAGAGCTCTTGCTCTGCAGCAACAGTTGCAGCAGCAGCTGCACAGCTGCAGCAGCTGCTGCACTGCAGCAGCTGCCGCTGCACTGCAGCAGCAAATCAGCAGCTACAGTGCACTCCTTCACGAGCTGCTAGCTAGCAGCAGGCTGCAGCTAGCTAGCTGCCCGCTGCATGCAGCTAGCTGGATGCAGGCCATAGATAGCTGCAGCTAGTTAGAAGCAGGCCCTAGCTAGCTGCAGCTAGCTGCGCTGCTCCTGCTGCAGCTAGCTGCGCTGCTTCTGCTGCAGCTAGCTGAATTGCTTCTGCTGCAGTTAGCTGAACTGCTTTTGCTGCAGCTAGCTGACTTCCTCTTGCTGCAGCTAGCTGACTTGCTCTTGCTGCAGCTAGCTGATTTGCCTTTGCTGCAGGCAGCTGAATTGCTTTTGCTGCAGCTATCTGAATTGCTTCTGCTGCAGCAGCTGGGTTGCTTCTGCTGCAGCAGCTGGGTTGCTTCTGCTGCAGCAGCTGGGTTGCTTCTGCTGCAGCAGCTGGCTGCGTTATCCAGGCCTTTTGTCTAGCCACTTTGTGCAGACTACAAACCCCAAACACTACAATTTAAACCCTAAACCCTAAACCCTAAACCCTAAACCCTAAACCTTGATGACACTGTTCAGTCTGAGAGCAAGGCATGCGTCAGTGCCGCAGGATCTTGCGCAGCAGTTGCTGCCGCTCCTGCTGCTGCTGCTGCTGCTGCTGCTGCTGCAACAGCGACGGAGCTGCCCCTGGCAGCCTAAAATGAAAAAGGAAAGCGCCAGGGGCCCCCAGGGGCCCCCCGGGGCCCCCAGGGGCCCCCCGGGGCCCCCAGGGGCCCCCCGGGGGCCCCCGGGGTCCCCTGGGGGCCCCCAGGGGCCCCCCGTCGTGCGTGTGGGTCTTTATTGTTTGCTGCTGTTTCGGGGCCCCCTAGAGCTCATCTGCTGCTGCTGCTGCTGCTGCTGCTTGCGGAGGTAGAAGGAGAGGGGCGGGGCGTCGAGTTGGCGGCGAGTCACTTGGGGCGCGGTGTGGGGTCTGCGGTGTACAGACACCTCAAACAGCTGCCCCTGTGGGGTCACTTCCAGGGCCTTTGGGGTGTCTGCAACAAACCGGGAAATCCCCGTGTCTATCTGCAGCAGCAAGTTGCTGCAGCGGCTCTCCATCTGCAGACTTTGCTGCACTGTGTGCCCCACAACCATCATATCCCCCTGCAGCAGCAGCAGCGCCTGCTGCAGCGCAGCACAGGCTTCCTGGGGGGCCCCCAGGGTATACAGCCGGCTCCACAGGGGCCCCTCTGCCCCGCTCGCAAACAGGGGGGCCCCCCCTGGGGC